GGTTGGGACTACCAGATTAGCACAATGCTGCTTCACCCATCACTGTTCATGGTCTATCCATGGGGCAATCTTTCTGAAAAGGGCAATGGCTTGCGGAACTGAAGGCCAACCCTCCTCCTCCTTCAAACAATGTAAAGAGACATTAAGAGAATCAGATTTCCTTTAAATTACGCCATTGCCTGAGAACATAATCGCATTAAGCTTATTACGTTGCTTCCTTAAGACTTTATATTATGTACACTTAATTGAGATACAGGGCTCTTTTTCGGCAATAAAAATGGCAGCTCCTTTATTAAGGTTTAAATCTTACCTCTTAACAACAGGACGCTTCCCCTCAAGATTCAAAACCTGCAAGATCTTTTGTGATAATCAGATGGCGGCTGATTTAAACAAGCACTTTATAGATATGGTGTTTGCAAGATTCTAATGGGGCTTGGGAGTTTACTAGGGAGGCCATTAGCGCCTCTCCCCGTATCTGAGTTCACGAAGCTGGATTTATTTGGCAAATAAAAATTCAGAACCTGAGCCGGCCTGGCACGTGGGGCCCAAACATTCTCAGCCATTCCCTAACAGAGAAAGCCAAGAAGAGGCAGAAGTGACAACAATGGGCTGAAGTGGAAGCCATTTTGAAGTTCAGTAGACTTATGACAGCTGAGTGAGATGCACCTTGAACTGGGGCCTGAGGGAATATTCACAGCAGCCTGGAAACAGAACATTTGTAGAGATGGGTTGGCACGTGGTAAGGCCTTCAACTTGTACAGCGTGACCTCTCCCATGGCAGAAGACAACAGCAAAATGTCAGATAGGGACTGCAGCAGTCTGGGGGTCTCTCTGCAGGATTGGACTAAAGCATCCAGTTACAGAATGAGGCAAAACCGTTGGTCAGAGAGGTAGAACAAGGTTAGTTCCCAAGAAAAGCTTCCAGTTTCCAGGCACAGAAGAGTAGAAGAGAGCAGGTAACATGCCTGAAAGGACTGGGAGCCAGGAATGGTTTGCTGTGCCAGGAAAACGTGGCGGGGCAGAGCAAAGACCAGAATTCAGAGGTGCTTTTTTCTGCTGAGAGGAAGGGGAAATTTATAATGAGACAGAAAACAGCACTGACCAATCACAGGAGTAGAAAAAGAAGTGCCCCCTTACATGGGCCCTTGACGGCACATGGCTTTCCAAAGCGCTGCTGCCCACTGCTTAGTATTCATGCTTGTGTTTTGCATACAGAAGACCTCCCCTGCAGTTCCCAGTAGCTCCACAGTAGAGCAGCAAGGCTGGCAAAGTCCCTGCATCTGAGATCCTGGAGAGCTGTGTCCAGTCAGAGAGGAAAACACTGGTTGGATGGACTGGTGGTCCACAACAACTAAAGAACCCTCATTATGTTCACAGCGCCCCGTCTGAAGGCCACTCCCTTGTGTCTAACACATGTAATAAGGCAGGGGAGAAGTTTATAATGAGACCCATGCATAATGCCTTTGGAGCAAGCATCTCCTTTAACAAAAGAGCCACGACGTCTTTGCACGGGTGGAACTGCCGAACCATCCGCTTGTGACACGTTCCAGCACACCTCAGAAGGACTAGATGGAGGATGGTTGTGTTACAAGAGATAAAAACACGGAAACAAAATATATTGCAGAACTCAAAAACCCTTATCTCCCCTCAGCCTCGCTCCCTTTGCTGTAATTCATTCAAGGAAGCCCCAAGAATAATTTTTTGATGTAAACTCTGCTACAAACATATATCACTTTGCTGATAAGATCACAGGCAAAACGCAGGCTATGAAAGAGAGCTTCATTCCTTTATGCTGCCCATATAAGCTCCCCTTTCCTTCTTAAAAAGTTCAAAAGCGATGGATCCCAGAAAGCCCTGGAGTGTGTGGCCACGGTGCCTTCCACCCAGAACTCCTTGCAAGGCACTCTGGGACAACGCCAATGAATTGGGGCAAGCAGAGAACAACTAAAACATTGCTTTTGACTTAAGAACGTAATTGAAGAGAGACTAAAATGGCACTGAGTGACCTCCGCTTTGTAGCAAGCAAACCCCCTCCTGCCTCTCCCCACATCAAGCTACCATTCTCCTGAGCAAGGATTCTTGACTTAAATTCCAGAAGGAGTGTGGAAAGTATGATCTTTGCCCTGCTGAAGGGAGATGATGCCCAATGTAGTTAAGAACAAACTTCCTTTCAAGCCATGTGCAACCCACACGCTGCGCTCAGGGTCCCCAGAGACTCCCTTGACATTTCAAGTGGGAGAACGAAACAAAAAGGTTTGGATACAGAAGCAGGACTGGCTGGATGCTGAATAATTATGGGCCACGGGGACTGTCTAAGTTCAGCTTTTTAGGAAAATTCCGGTTTACAAAGACAACCTAGGTGGGAGCCAAGGATATGGGAACTTCAGAAGAGCTGGGAAAATTTGAAAAGCAAAATCCAGGGGTGTGCAGAAGAAAGTGCTTGGGAGCAAAAATCTTTGGCTCCTGGCTCACTGCATTTATTTATTTACAACCTTCACAGGGTGAACCTTTCCACTCAGGAAACTCCCTAGGAAATCAATGCACTGGCAGGAATCCAACCACCTATTTGGTGAGCAGCAGGCACTTCTCAGGAAAGGGTGTGTGTGGGGGGGAAGAGTCCCTGAACTGCAGCCCCTTACACTCCTTCCCTATACAGTTTCTGAGGGTCCTCCTGATCCTCAGGACTGGCTTTTTGGGGCACCCAGGGGGTTGCAGAGGAAAAGGGCAGCTGCAAGAGCCCCAGTACACATGTAAAACTCTATTGGTGTTATTAAGGCCCTAGAGAGCAACTGACGGTCAGAGTGGATAATACTGACCTTAGTACGTATGAGACAGCTTTGCATGGTCAACTGTTTGGTCAACATATATACATCCAAAACATTTTCTTTATTGCTACTGTTCCCCCTTCATCAAGACTTCTTGGGAATCTACTCAGCTGCAGGTCTTTTTCTGTTGAGGTCCTATATCTGTGGAACACCCTCTAAAGGGGGCTGCTAACCTAGAACCTTTATTTGCAGAGACTAGTTTAAAACTAACTTTATATCTATTATAAGGTTTTCTGGTGAACTGTAATTTTGGTAGGGTTGCAACTAGGGTCGAATGGCTGCTTTCTGGGTTTCGTTCATTTTAACTATCGTTTTGATTTATTTAAACTGATAATGTTTGACTTATTTTTTAGTATATTAAAGTCACCTTGGCTATTTACTTTAAAGGGAAATGTTTTAAATTTCTGTTTCTTGCTTTTCTTCTCTCACTTCCCTACAAGAATAAATTTGCTTGCCACAACTGCAGATGAGACTAGCTAAGTTACTAGCACACAATAATTGCCTACCCTGTCTAGCCGTACACTACCTATCACTGTCATAGAAAACAGACAACAAGCAAGCAAACACCACCATCTTTTCAAAAAGCTTCCTTGTGTGTTTGCCTGAAGGTGATTTTTTAAAAACTCACCCCAATTGACCAGGCAAGTAGCTACTAACAAGCTTCTGCTTGTCTATAAAACAAGGAAATCATCAATACAGATCATCCCCAGAGCACAGTGTTTGACACCAGAATTGTTATTTAGAAGTACTAATGGCCGAAATCTGCTTGGCCCTTATGAAATTGCAGGTCTTTGTATCTCCTTCAACCATTCCTGCAGATATCCACTGCCCTCATTCCATCTCCAAAATATTCAGTCATTCTAAATTTCAGTTCACCAGGTGAAATTTGTACATGCACTTGCAGCAAGATCTGAACTGGATTTTTTAAATCTTCGTCCCTGTTCTTTTCCTCACAGTTGGGCAGCATCTTACCAGAGCATATCCCCTCATGAATATTTGTTTGTTAGTTGGCTGATACTGCTGGGGATGCCTGTTTTGGGATCTGTGGATGTGAACTGAAAGTTTGCTCGTGCATATGGTTCTCTGACACCCCCCCCCCCCCACATTC